AGAAAATATTATTAATAAAATCTGTTCTCTTTGTTGAAATAATAAATAAAAAAAAAAAAAAAAACAAATGTAGTATAAGAAAGATAATAAAGAAGGATCGTACGTTTAGTTTTATCGACAAATCGATTAGGATATCGAAAAGGAAGTTTACTTGGCTATAGAAACGCTTATTCGTGGCAACCAACCACGAAAAGTTGTTAAGGAAGGAAATTGAAAGGTAAAGCCTTAACTCAATTGAACTATCTCTATCTCTCTCTCTCTCTCTCTCTCTTTCACTCTCTTTCTTTCTTTATCTATCCATCTATTTAATTCTTTATCTATCTCACTCGTTCTAATACAGTTTTATTGCTATTTCAAGTGAAGGAAAAGTTCACAGTTTCGTACATGAGAGAAAGAGAAAGAGAGAGAAAGGAAATAAAGGAAACAAGACTAGAGTTAATGTGTAACTTCAATCGGATTCTATCCTCTTCTTACTTATCTATTATTTTTTTTTAATTCCCCTATTTTCGACTTAAATTTAAACGAAACATCTCAAAACGAGAAACAATTCTCATTCGTTTTTTTTTTTTTTTTTGATTAGGACTTTGTCCTGTTATAAATTATTTTTTTTAAGTGCATTAATCTATTTCTAGGAACTATTGAATTGAAAATCAAAAAATAATATAATAATACATTTTTGGAAAGTAAATTAGTTGTTTATATATGATCGAAAAAATTTGATCTAATTTAATAGATCTAATAGATTGTGTTCTATTGCTAAAACCCCGTTTAAACCATGAAAATAAATGTTATTTTCTATTCTTTTCTCTCTCTCTCTCTATCTCTTTCTATCTATCTATCTTTCTCTTGCACATTCGCAAAAGGTGTAATTTTTATGTGACCGTAAATCGAGATCTCGGTAAACGGAAATCGGAATCGGTGATCTTATTGATAAAACGAAAGCTCGAGCAAACCAATAATACATACTATATATATATATATATATATATATATATATATATATATATATATATA